TCAAAACATTGTGGCTGCAATAGCCAGTGTTGTCGCTCGGCCAAGTTTGTCAACTTGGAGGTCGTCATCTTAGAGAATATTGCGTAAGGATCTGAGATTGCATCCTTATAAAGTTGTATTGACTCAAGAACTAAAACTGAATAATCACAAATTGCGTCGAGATTATGCATACTGGACTCATGAGCACTTGGAACATAATCCTGACTTTGCTAAAAAGAGTTATAGTCTCAGACGAGGCACATTTTTTGATATTAAATCTAAATGTCTTCAGATTTAATGATTTTCACTCTGAATTTTCTTATATTCTCTCTAAGCTATTTAATATCTCGTTCTTAAATGGAATTTTTCCTGACATTTTAAAATTATTATGTGTCATTCCAGTATTAAGTTGGCTCAAAACTCTCATGTACTAACTATAGACCAATATTAATTCTATCTAACATTAGTAAGCTCCTTGAAAAACTAATATATTCTAGATTATACTTATTTTCCTATAACTATTTAAAAGAATTTCAATTTGGATTTTGATCAAAACACTTCACCTGCTTTATACTTTATTTTTTCGGTTATACTTTATATAAGTATAACCAAAAAAATAAAAAAAGTACTGGATATTGGTCACTTCGTAGATGGTGCTTTTATTGACTTACAAAAAGCTTTCGGTACCGTTAATCATAGCATCTTAATTTGTAAACTTGAACATTACGGAATCCGAGGAGTTGCTTGTAATTGGTTTCAATCTTATCTATCTTTGCATTGTTCCCTAGGATTCTTTTCTTGGCTCTTTATTGTTTTTGATTTATATTAATAATCTAAATAACTCTGTCCACTTCTCATCAGTCCATTAATTTGCTGATGATAATAATATCTTGCATATTATTAAGTCTCATCATTCCTTTTGTAAGAATATAAACTTAGATCTAAAAGATTCAGTTCGTTGGCTAAATGCAAACTTATTTCTCTGAGCTTGGAAAAAATTGAGCTTTAATGTTTTCATCTCCAAGACAAAACCTTTTAAAGAGCAACGATATAGCTGAAATTAAAAATAATAATGGAGGTTAATATCCAACACACGTTGTTAATATCTTAGAATTTTTATAGTTTCAAACTTCTCATGGAATTTTCATATAAATGTACTCCATAAAAAACTTAATCAAACTAATGGCATGCTTTCAATAATTCGCTATTATGTTGATAAAACTACCCTTAAGAATCAGTATTTTGCAATTTTTCAGTCTCATCTCAACTACTGTTGTCAGGTTTGGGGACAAATTGGCAACTGTGATATTAACAAATTGTTATCAACTCAGCATCAGTTAATCCGAATAATAAATCTCCATAATACAGAAACTTCAGAAACTCCATAATACAGAAACTTCAAACTTTTTCAAAAAAAATTCCTACCTTATCAGCACTAGTTGGATTTGCTAATCTTCTTTTTGTTTTTGACTCCCTAAATAAAAATTTACCTCTATTACAACCTTTTTCACTGAAACTCAATTCATACATTCATATTTAACTAGAAACATCAATGATGGAAAACTAAATGTACCTCCCTACAAAACTTTGAGGTATGGTATCAGTGCATCAGTGAATGGAATCGAATTCTTGTGTGCATAGTGAATGAGTTTGAAAAATTAAAACTTTGAAAAAAGATCCTTTATTTTTTTAACAAATTTAAAAAAAAAAAAATTATTTTAATATTTATCGTTATTAACTTCTTTTAGCTTTCTTTTTTTTCTTCTAACTATTTTTATATAATTATATATATATATATATATATATATATATATATATATATATATATATATATATATATATATATATATATATATATATATATATATATATATATATATATATATTATAACTATTTTTATATAATTATATATATTTTTATAAACTTTATTTTTTTTTTTTTTTTTTGTTTCTGTTTTTGTCGTTATGATTCATTAATTTTGTTACTACTACTTTTATTATTATTAGTGTTATTATTATTATTATTATTATTATTATTATTATTATTATTGTTATAATTATTATATTAACTATTATTTTTGCTTTTACTTTTTCACTATTTAAATTAATATTATCAATATAATTATTTAGTGATCCTTTTCATTCCTTTGATCAGGTTTCTGCATGAATGACTCCTTTATCGTCAATCATTTTTTTATATTTATTTTTAATAATGATACTATGTTTTTTTTATTTATAATACTATAGATATACTTGCTATTATTATTATTTTTTTTTTATTATTATTATTGTTATTATAATATTATTGTAATTATGAATGTAAATTTTGAGGAAAATAAATAAATGTTGTTGTTGTTGTTGTTATTGTTGTTATTTGTTGTTGCCATTTTTGGTTAAATGGCTTTTTTAATAAGCAAAATTGCTGTTATTGGTGCGAGGACAACCCAGAAGTGTTCATAAAGCTCCATTACATTCCCACTGTCTGGTACGGTTTATAAGGTCATGTTACCCTAGATTATTTTCATTGGGAATATGTAAAAACACATTTCTGTACCAACAAGTCGCAGTCTTTGAATCACTTAATCGTCAAGTTAATTGCGGAAATATATACGAAATATGAAATTATTGCACAGAGTGATCAGAAATCAGAGCTATTGAGTGAGCCAGTGTCTACAAACCAATCGAGTGAGCCTGTTTCTACAAACCAATCGAGTGAGCCTGTTTCTACAAACCAATCGAGTGAGCCTGTTTCTACAAACCCGTGGTGGACATTTAAATAATATTTTATTTCAAAGTACAGCGAAAATTAAGCTGATATTGTCAAACCTTTGTTCTATTATTCAAAATTAAAAGTTTATCATCCTTTATGAAAGACTCTGCAATAAGATGTCACACACAATTGAAACTTTATTGTAGAGGTTTTATAAAATGTAAATATTTTATTCCTTTGCAAATATTAAACAAAGTATTTAAAAAAATGTTTCGTAGATAAATTACAATAAAAAAGTTCATAGCAAAATAAGATATTACAATTATCAAGTTTATTTTTATCAAGTTCAGGAAGAGTTGTTTTAACATAATATCGTTATTGTGTGATTCATGGAGTTTTTCGTGAAATTGCCTAATGTCCCTACTGTGCCTAATGTAATGATTTTATATGTAAAAAATTCCCTTTTGTTGCTGGAAAGAATTTGGGTCTTTTTGTCAGAAGTGTTATTTGGGAAGTGGTCAGGTGCTTGGTGGATAAGTTGACAACCTTAGGTTGCATTTTTTTGGTATTGTGTTTGTCCAGTTTTTTGAAGATAAAATTTCATATATATGGTTATCATTACAAATATTATTTGACAAAATATTTTCAGCATTGTAGCTGTTTCTCTATCATGGTCGCTGCTCAAATGAACTTTCATCTCTAGTTTCATCAACTAAAACTCGTTCTTGCTTGACTTATCAATCAGCCAAGTCTCATTTGTTTACTGTATCTGTCTCTGCATGCTCTAAAAACTTTTATTTGTCTAGTTTTTTTCCCCTACGCTTTAACCTTTTAGAACTCTCTCCCATCTTCATGTTTTCCTGACTTATACAACCCACAACTTCTCAAGTCTTCTGTCTTTCTTGCTCTATAACTCATTCTTTATTAACCCCTAACTTAGTAGTGGTTGCTAACAGTCGGGAGTGAATCAGAATAATAAAAAAATTAAACAATGTGTCTGTAAAATATATTAGACAACTAGAAGTCAAAAAACATTTGACTGCAAAAATGCAGCAATTTATGAGAAACCTTACTAGTTTTATTTTTATTTTTCCATAGTTCGAAAAATTATATCAAGGGGTTAAGGTTGGTTAGCAAATAATATTTTAAAGGTTGGAAATCGTTGTCCTAGTTAAATGCTCCTTCGCGGTGCTCTGTAATCAGGCCGTTAGGACTTCTGGGAGCACCTTTATAACAACACAAACAACAACAGCAAAAAATTTTAATTTCACAAAACCCTATTTGAGACAACTTGTTTAGAAAAAACAAGACGATAACTACAACAAGATAACTTAAAAGAAAACTACCGTCGCCGAGAAAACAACAGCTTATGTAACATTTTTGCGGACAACGCTTTTTTTGCGACAAAAAAATAATAATAACAATAATATTTATAATTATAACTGCAAATAGCAGTTATACTATGTACATTTGTAATAAGATTTTTATTAAATTATAGTTATAACTATAAATTAGACAAAAAGAAGACAATATTTGGATTTCGCCTCGTAAGCTGTAAGTAAGCTGTAACGTTAGTAATCTGTAGCGTGCTTTCATTGATAAGATTATCTTTGAAACATTAAAATGTAAAAAAAAATTTACTATTTACAAATTATGCTAATTAAAAATTATAAACAAGTTATAAACAAATATAATTTAACTATGTACGAGAAAGAAGCTTAAGTTTTAAAAAAATTTTAATTCAATAACTGTTTGACTTTGTGTTGCATGCCAATATTTTATTGAAATTTTTTCTTCTATTATGCTTATATATTCGATCCAGATAATATTTTTATTTTGAATCACACCTATTAATCACACCTATAGAATAACACCTTCAGTACTTGTTATCTGATTAAGTTAGAATTGTCAATGTAAACGAAATTTTATTGGAATTTTTTCTTTTTTGTTAGTTAAATTATTTTAGCAAAACTAGATGTTAAATTGTTTAGACAATACGTATGACGAAGGAAAATCAGACGACTTACGTTTCATATGACGTCATATGATACTTATGTATCATATGACGAAGGAAAATCAGACTATTTAAACTTGAGGTGTTTCCCAAAGATCAAGTCTAAGTCCACTTTAACTTCTTATTTATGTAAGTGTGTTTAGATTGAATCAACATAAGCTAGGATTAAATAAAGACAATAGGTTTTTGTTCTCTTATACAAACTTTTTTACTTACCATACTTGTTTAAAAAGCACGGTAATGAAATCCTTTTTTGATTTTTTTAAACTTAAATTATAATTGAAAAAAATAGGCAGATAAACAAAAAGCGTATGTTTTCAAATTTTGTACATCTATTTATAAAAAGTTATTCACATGTTTTTCTTTTAAGATATATCAAAAGATTAAATCAAAGATTTAGTAAGTTGTTCTGAACTACTAACTGCTTATTATCTCTTGTCTCTTTTAACTTTTCATACGAACATTTACAAAATAAACCAACTGCAGTAAGCAGACAAACTATCGCCATTATAATGTAAAGCTGATCTGCATAATACTGATATATATAACCTCCAACAACACTGCCTATGCCACCGCCAATTCCATTCTGCATAGCGCTTGCTATATTTAAAAATGATACAAGACATTTTTGATGAGTTATTTTTTGTAGTTCTAGATTCATTGTAATTATATACACAGGTCTTGATATACCATAAATAAAACTAATTCCAATAACATAATAAGCATCATTAACAAAAAATATTAGCATGCAACCTAATCCGTAACCAAGAAACGCAAGCGCTATCATGAAATAAGTATTTTTTAGTTTTCTGTTAATTATTTCAACATAGGGCGAAAATAAAGCTCCAAACAGACATTGTAAAAATGTTGTCAATCCTAATACCAACATTGTGCCATTTTTCATGTTTTTATCCATATAAATTGCAAGATATGTAAAGATAACATTTCCAACAAATCCCATTAAAAACTGAAGTAACATGCAAAGCATTACAATTGGCTTTTTCATTGTAATTTTCAACAAGTAGTTACACGATTCCACTGCGATATTTTGCTTTAATGACTTTCCATAATAACGTGCTAGGTGTGCAAAAGGGGAAAACAAAATAATTTTAATAACAAAATACATAAAATATGCAACTATGAATTGGGATATGAATGTCACTTGTACGTATCGAATTACAATTCCAATTAAAAGTGAAAATGTTCCATAACCAATCATACTCCACATCCTTTGCCATGCATACGAATTATTCTTTCCTAATTTAAGACTTATCAAAATAGTAAATGCTTCCAGAGAGCCAAGTTGATTACCTTCAAAAAATGAGCAGATGTTGCAAAAAAAAAAAGATAAAAAAAATGCCTCCGTTGGGTAGACTGACAACATGGTATTTTGCGTGTTGTTATTTATTAGGAAGTTAAGCGTTTCAGCGTCGTTTGTTATGTTTTTAATTACATTTATTGTGACATTGCTAGATAAAAAAACTGTTTCAGAAACTCCGTAAATTATGTATGGCAAGAAAACAAACCCTGTTACTGATATTGTAGAAATAACCATTGAAATTGATGTAATTAGCATGTAACGATTTGTTTGGTCCATTAACCAGCCTAAAATAGCTGAACCTGCTACTTGCGAAATATATCTGGAACCAACAATTATACCGGCTTGACTGGGTGTCATACCTGTACTTGTAAAAAATGATACAAGGTATATAACCAACATACAGTTGGCTCCATGATACAAAAAGTTTGATAATTTAGTTGATAGAAATTTTCTATTAAAATGTGAAAGCTTCTTTTTGGTTTGCAATAACGAATGCGATATTCCATCTAAATGCAATGGTTTGCAATATAAAATACTGTAAAACAATGAATTAAACCTTATTTTAAAATAAAGTTTAGTTTACCTTAAAACTAGCCGAGTTTATTTAAAAAAATTATATAAAAAGAATACATAAATTTATACAGGTACCATCATTTTTTGCATCTTTTACTATATTACACTGTACAATCATCAAAGTATTATTACTCGCCATCTTTATGCAGAGATGACAAGAAATAAATGTGGTTTATTTTTTTTTTTTTTTTCAAAGTTTAAAATGTTTTATTAACCTTTTGCTAAAAATATAAATTATTAACTGATTACTGTGTTTAATTATTTAGATGAATAATCAAAGTTTTAAACTAATTTATGAGTTACTTTGTTTGTTGGTAAAAATTACGACTTTAATTATTAATTTTTTATAGTTTGCTTGTAATATCTGTTTAGCAGATTTGGAATAAATTATATTTTTACTTTATTATATTTTTAAATTGTTTTAATTTCGAGTCTGTCATATGGTATATTTATGTTTATATATTTAAACAATAGGAACCTATGGAAAAATTTTGTGTTTTACTACGCTTTTTTTACAAAGCATTGGTTTCCTTTGCTGTGAGTCTGCATCGGATTATTTTTTTTGTAAATAAAAAAAAAAAGAAGTTTCAATTAAAATTTTCATAAAAAAAAAAAAAAAATTTGTTTAGATATTGAACTTTCATGTTATTAAAAAGCAATTTTTTTAAATATTTATTTGTAGATCTTTAAAAGATTTGCTTCGCATTTAGTTTTTTACGCGTCAAATTTTTATATGTAAGTGCATGACAAATTTTTTTTAAAGCATAAACAACGTTTTATTTGCCTGCCCAGCATGTGTTGTAGGTGTTTTGAAAATATTATACGACTTGAACATTTTAATTATTTAAAAAAAACTGAGATAAATTTTAATCATGTGCTGCACATTGAAAGATTTTGGGAATGATTCATGTTGTAGTATTCTTTTATGAACGGGAGTTTTGCATTTATAACGTTTGCTCAACGAAACACTAGAACTATACATTTACTCAGTTTGACACTTTCAGATTACTCTTTTTATTTTTAATTACAGATCTGACCACTTTCCATTCGTGAAATTGCGATTTCATTAGGCCTTCCATTTTTATCAGTAATAAATTTTGCATATCCTATATGCAAAATTTATTACTAATAAAAATGGAATTATATATATTATTATATTATTATATATATATATATTTAATAATATCATTAAAAAATGATATGTATTGCTTAAACCCTATGTTGTGTCAATAACCATAACAAAAAAATAAAGTATTTCATGTTTGCAAATTATTCTTGCGGAACATTTGTTCGCTATAAAATAAAATAAATTCATTTTTGATACTTAAATTTAAAAGTTATGTTACATTTTGTACTTGGTCAATTATGTTACATTTTGTACTTGGTAATTATGTTTACCAGTTTAACGTACATTGTTCTTTCCAAAGTCTGCACGGCTTGGCAATATTTCGCAAATATAAAAGAATATTGTAAAGCACTTATATATTTAACATCTGAGTAAAAATAAAAATTTGATACTAAATTAAAATAATTTTTTATTTTTATTAGCAATACAGCCCAGAGATTTTAGACTTTAACTACGTTGAGAAGTTTGCCATATCGTGAATATAAGCAAAAATGCATATTGATTCATTGCAAGTTGTAGATTGTTATAAGATGATTCATTCATTTAGAATTAAATTTTACTTCTGAAATTTTGAAAAAATTCGTTTGTAGCAACCATTGCAAAGTTCTTATACCGTGTTTTACTCCAACTTAATCAAAAAATGTTATACGTAGAACTGGGGCAAATCTGCTCATAAAATGAGGGGGTGGCCGAATCCTTAAAAAGTACCCTCTGCTTTCTACAATTAAAAAAAAAAAAAAATGCTTAAAAATAAAAACCACCTGACGAAAATTTGTGAAATGCCCGGCTGACTGACTATATTCCTCAAATAATTTATTATAACTTTAAAATCGACTTTTTTTTACGGGGACGGTGTATAAAACACAGATCTAGTAGAATCGCCACTGATGTAAAATAGAAAAGTTTTTTTTATAGAGTTAAATACTTTTTTTTAGTTTTTAGCAATTTTTTAGTAGTTAAATATATGTAATTATTTTTATTAGTACAAATTATTTTTATTAGTGCAAATTATTTTTATTAGTACAAATTATTTTTATTACTACAAAATACAAAATTAGTAGTAATTAAGTTGTTATTTAATATGAGTTTATAGTAATAATAGCAAGTAGTTAATATTAATTAATTATTATTTAATAGTAATTAATTACTAGATAGGCGAGAATTTAAGCTGGCAACATTGTTGATGAAAAAATGTATTTAAAGATACTTGTTTGACAATAGTTATAGTTTTTTAATAGTGAATTTACAATTAAAACGCTATAACTGTTGCTAAACAAGCATCTTTAAAAACATTTTTTATAAACAATAATGCTAGCTAAATCCTCGCTTAACTAGTAATTAGTTACTTAATTACTAATAAATAGTAATTAAGTAAATAGTAATATTGTTATTACTAGTCTGTCTAGCAATAGTAGCGGCAAAGGTCAGAAACTGATTATTTTATATACACGTGGTTCTTAAATAGAAAAATACGTTTTGTAAACTTGTTTCTCTTAAAAAAGAGAAAAAAAAACAACCTCTCTTTTACTACATAATCAAATAAAATCAAATGTTATTGTTCAAATGAGCTATTGCAAAACTATTTTGCGCGTAAGTTATAACAAATAAATTGATTTCAAACGACAACTTATTTGAAGTACTCTTAGTTAATAACTTTTAGATTCAAAGTGGTCCAGTAATTTGAGACTTAAAATACGTTGTTCAATATGTATATTATCAATATAAACTTGGTTTATTATTCGTAGATGCATGGTCTCTAATATAGATTTTTACAAGTTAAATGTATCTAATTTTATGTGGCAAAAATATTATATTTATTTTATTCTAATTGGTTATGTTATAACTGGGTCTCAGTGAGACTAGATCAGTGTTGAAAATATGTTTTAATATTTATTCATCCTAAAATACTAATTTTCAAAGTTTTACAAATATTTTTATATAATTAAAAAATGAAAAATATACAAGAAAACTTGAAGTTAACTAATCTAGATTTTAGATACAGTTGTAAATGGCATGAAATTAACTGCATGTAATAATTCGTCTAATTTCATAAAGCATCTTTGACAAAGGTGGAATATATGCAAAAACTCTAAAATTTATTTTGAAGAAAATAGCAAACAAAATGAACCGATTTTGTTCAGTTCAGAATTGATAAGAAGTATATTCTTCCAACTGCTTCCATCCCAGCTGTAGTATCTGGCAAATCCCAGGTGAACTTTGATACTTCAAGTAGTAAAACAAAGAAAATAAGATTAGCGCCATTAGTTGTATCTATTTTATCTTTAGAGCTGTTGTTTTCATCAGGTTTTAGTTTGCGTCAAGATAGTAAAAAAAAAATGAAGCTAAAGCTGTTTTACAATTATCCGAATATACGAGTTTTGATTATTACTATATACACAAATTGGTTTAAGCTAAGTAATATAAAATAGAGCCCTATAGCTGCCTATAATCAGACTGCCACATTTATATTAGTCTAGTTTATAACTTTGATGTTTTAAGAAAGACACTTAAGCAAGTAACAAAATGAATTGTTTTCAGTCATTTCAGGTGTCACTATCAACCAAATAAAAACTCTATAAAACCACTATATTTGTAAAACAAAAAAACACTTAATGTGGTAATTATAGGAGTAATCCGAAAAAGTTATTATTTTTACCCAGTTTATATTTATTATTGTTAATAAAACATATGGTTGCTAAGTAATTTAGATATCCATAGTTACCCAAATTTTAAAACTAATGTTACAATTAAAACCGCAATCCTCATATTAGTAAACAGTGCAAAAATGGTCCTTAAATTTTTTTTATATGACGAGTCATTAGTTTTGTCCAGTAAAATACACCGATTGAGCGAATTAAAAATACGTCATTTTTAAGAGGTCTGAACTCCAATAGGAGGGGTAAAAAAATACTTCTGCTACAATATTTACTTGAGAAAACGAAGTATAAACATCTAAAACTGCTAAAACAAATATTTACTATAAAATTTATCATAGAGTACAATATGATTTCAAAGATGAAAGTTGAAGAGTTAAAAAACTATTTGAAGTTAAGAGGATTAAAATTAAATGGTAAAAAAGAAGAGCTAGTTGCTCGTGTATTTGCTGCAATAGAAAACAATGTTCTACCAATAAAAATAGCAGTAGAAGTTGAGGCAGATTTAAAAAAAGAATATAATTTGAAACTGGAATTAGACGATATGCAGAAAACAAATACAAATAACTAACTTTAACAATAAATAAGATAGAAATAAGATATTAATGTAAAGAATTAATAAATTTTAATAAAAAAAAGTTCCTGCAAAGTTAAGAACAAAGGTACATTAATAAGTATAATACATGTACAAGTAATAATAAAACAAAAACAAAAAACCTTTTTGCAAAAAAAAAAAAAAAAGACTCAACAAAAAATTTATTTAATGAGTACTTATTTTTGGTTTAGGGTCTGCTATCAGTTTTGGTTTTAAATTACAAAGTGCACCACATGTTAGTAAAATGTCATCTGCATGTTGCAGTATGCTAATTGACATACTTCCATTTAGAATTCTGTATGTTTTAATTCGGGTTATAGTTCGCTCTACATGTATTCTTGGATTTGCAACATGTTGAGTTTTTTAAACTTCTTTGGTGGTTAATTGACTTTTCAAGCAGGCACCAGTTGGAACAACTAAAGTACAGAAATTTAAAATTAAATCTTAATGAATTTGAAAACCTCAATCAGCCATAACTTCGTCATCTTTCTCTAGTAGATTATATATACCACTATCTCTTGTAATAAATCTATCACTTGCTCTTCCACCATAACACGAAGAAAGAAATGTAATATATCGAGTTGGACTAACACCTATTAAAAAATTAAATGTATTATGATGCTTATATTCTGACCAGGTGCTTGATTGCTTATCAAGGGACTTTGAACGTTCTATAAACACTTCTGCACAATCAAGAATTACTCAACATTTTTGATAACCAGCTTTCACAAAAACAGGTGGCAGATTGTTACGAATAGATTCATGTGAAAGCCATACAACTAATGCTTGTCCTAAAACTTGACTTT